CAGGGCTGCGGGGATCTGCGGGGCGGGGGGCGGCAGGCAGGGGCGAATTGGGGCCCAGCGTCGATCGCGCTCACTGGGGAGCAGGGCGGTTATAGGGCTGCACACAGCGATGGGGGCGGAGAGTGGGGCGCAGAGCTCTGCACCCCAACGGAGGAGCCCCCCCCCCCCCCCCCCCCCCCCAGCCCCAGCGCTCAGGGAACGACCCGCAGCTCGCACCACACGCTCCGTACACCGGGTTTATTGTCTAGAAAAAGTCAGGGCGCGGGATGGGCGGCGGTGAGCGAGGGGCGGCCCGAAGACCCCCCCCCCCATCCCACCCTGACCTCTTAGAGCTACGCGGATTAGTAGCGGTGCAGGACGTCGCCTCGTTCTCCTTTATGTCGGTGCGTGTTTTTACAGAAATACAACGTTTATGCACAGACTATTTACAGTCCAGCCCTCTCTTGCATATCATCACGGGGTGAGGAGGATTTGGGGCTCTGAATGGTTCTGGGACAACACAGCGGCACCTGGGGCCGCAGCACGGCCCGCGTCGGGGTGGGGGGAGCGGGGGGGGGGCCGCGTGGAATCGACCCCACAGCTCAGTGCTGGCTGCTCCCCGAGCACAGCCCCGCTGACTCCGGGTCACCGACGGCACCGACGCGGCCACACGTTGCATAGCAGCGCTGCTGCGGCGCAGGAGGGGAGGGGAGCGTCAGGAAGAGAGGGAGCTGCATCCAGCAGCGTTCCTGCCCTAAATCTCCTCCTGGGGCTGAGCTTTCCCAGCAGCGCGGTGCTCGGGGGGCGGCTGCGGGCACGCTTTGCTTTGCTTTGCTTTTGCTTTGCTTCCCTTCCTTGTTTCCCGCAGCCCCAAAGCAACGCTCGCCCTGCCGGTCGCTCAGGTTGCTGCAGGGCTGTGGCTGCGCAGCTCGGGGTCGAGCGCCGCCCCGGGGCGTGCGGAGGAACGGGGGCAGCCAACCCAAAGCAGGACAGCAAGCCGCGAAAAGGGAACAAGAAGCCAACAGTTCCCATCGGAATGGAATGATCGGGGTGGAGGTGTCGAGATCTTGCATAAAAGCCGCAGCCCATCACGCAGCGTGGACTCAATCCGCTCCTCGGAGCTGGCGCCGTACAAAAGTCTCCATCTCTGTTAAAAACCAAGGAGCCGGGGGGCAGCAGCTCCGCGCCCCTCAACTCAGCAGAGCCTCGTGAGTTAAAGTGCAAAATGCGCAGGGGAGGCGCCGTGCCCGGCCCCCAGCCGTGCTGCTGCCATAGGAGGCTTCTCCCACCCGCACGCTTCCTATGGGGGTGGACAAACACGGAGCTGAGGCCGCGTTCGTCGGGTGGGAATTCGTCTCCAGCGCAGCACGGCGACCCCATCGTCTGTGGGATCGGGAAGAGCTCAGCCCCAGGGCCGTGTTCTTTCAGTTGGTGGAGGAGAGAAGGGTTAAAATCACGACACAGAGTTCATGAAACAAAGGGAGGCTTCGGATGAAGGAATCCCGTCCTAAAAGCAGTTCTTCCCCTGGCACGGGGGGAACAAAAATCAGGAGAGCCACGAGGTGCCTGGACTGCAAAGCGCTGGGACAGCAGCCCCATCCAAGGAGAGTTTGGGGGGCAAGGAGCTGCTCTCGTGCCCCAGAGCGAAGCACTGAGGACGGCGTCCCCAATCCAAGTTGTTTCGGGAGGCGGGCGGCCGTCCCCGAGCCCCGCAGCGTCAGGGGGTGTAAGCTGGAGGCGGCTGGAACTGATTGATCACCTCGTACTCTGCGGGGTAAGGCTCGTTCTCCTCCATCTCAGACAGCAGCTCCAAGGCCTGCTCCTCCTCCTCGGTGGGGTAATGCCGCAGCAGGTTGGCGGCGGTGGCCAGGATGGAGGCTCCCCCAGCTCCGGCCACCAGGTAGAAGCTGACGGCGAAGGTGACGTAGACCTGGGAGCCGTGGTACTTCTTGTGCTGCTGCTGCTGGGCCAGGATCAGCTCCGAGGCCCAGTAGCAGAACCCGATGACGGTGGCGCACTGCAGGACTGAGGGCACGGGGAAGGGGGGAAAGGAGAGGGGTCGGGTGGGCAGGAAGGAAAGGGGGAGTTAAACTCGTGGTGAAAGCATTGCGAGGAAAGCCGCGGCCACGGGCATAAAGCAGAAACATCGCGGGCACCGGGGGGAGGAAATGGAGGCGGGAATGCTCTGCACCTTCTTTTAGAGGAGCCTGAACTGAGGAAATGGAGGCAGGAATGCTCTGCACCTTCATTTAGAGGAGCCTGAACTCCCTGCTCCCAGTGAGAAACCAGCAGCAGCTTTTTGTGGCTTTGTGGCTCTGCAGCTGCACAGAGGTATGGAATAAGAACGGGCTGGGGAACGGATCACTGCCTCCTGAGGGAAGGGGGGAGGAGGAGGGCAGTGAGGTGAGGCTGCGGGGCTCCTGCGGCCCACAAGGAGCAGAGCAGATGAGCAGCACGGGGCTCACAGCTCCGGTGAGCAGCTCAGCGCTGTGACGTGCTTAATGCTGGATCAGGGACATAAAGCTCCTTCAGCCTCACACTGAGTCACAGCCCACGACCTTCCCCACAAGGGCACAGCTCTGCTCTGCAGGGCCTCTTGGAGGACCCTCACCTCTCCCTTCTCAACCTGAGCTCTGCTTTGGAAGTCAGAGCTGAGCTGCCACGAGGCGGCAACAAAACCCGCCGGCCTTCAGGCTTCGAGCAGCAGAGCGAGGGGAAAAGCAAGGAAAGGCAACTAAAGGGGGGGCAGAGATGGAAGCGGGGGGCTGAAATATCAGCCAGGGGCTCCTCCACGCAGCGCTGAATTACCTGTGAGGATGTGAGCGAAAGCGTAACGCCGGGTGATCTTCAGGGCCGGGTGCTTGGGCCCAAAGACGTCCAGCAGGAAGGCTGAGAGGCTGCAGATGATGCCAAGGAAGCAGAAGGCGGCGATGACACGAAGCAGCAGAACGGTCTGAGGGTTCATGCAGTAATCTGTGGGAAGAGGGGGAGATGCTGAGAGCCCCAAAGCTTCAGCACTGCTTGCCATACAGGAGCTGCTTTGATCCTTAATGGTCTACAGTTGTGGCTAGGAGTGCTGGCAGAGCACAGCCGAATGCTTTCATTGGCCTCCATAAAACACACCTTTGTTACACAGCCCCACCGCGTGCCGTGTTTTATGGAGTGCTGCTGCAGCGGAGATTAAAACAGCCCAGAAAACAAAACAGGTGGCACAGGTTCCTTCTTTCTCCTTGCTATAAAGCCTGCCTGACAGCACGGCGGCCCGCCGGCACACAGAGACGGGCTGCAGGGAGGCCCCACGCATGGAAATCACCTCGGCTCATTGCAGCGCGGTCTGTTTGCGTGCCCACAAGGAAGTGCTCACAGCCACCACCTCAACAGTGTGACAGCCAAAGCCTTTCATTATGGGCAATTAGCACGGGGACACGGCAATGGGGAGGAATGCTCTTCCTGGGGGGGGGTCACCCCGCCTCCCCACACGCACAAAAACCGGGGAGGGTGGAGGGGGATGGGCAGCTCTGGCTGCAGACGTGCCGGAGGAACGGCAGAGCAGAGCAAAACACGCAGATGGGGGATTTTCTCGTTCTGCCACAAGGCAGGAAGGCAGCACGGCCCCAGAACTCGCCCGGCCGTAACCTGAGCGCCACCAAACGCCAGCGTAACGCCAAGCGGCGCCGCCAGAGCCGCCCGCTCCCAAACCCCGGCTTCACAACGAGCCCCGAGCGCCGCCCGCTCCCAGCGCGGAGCCCGACCAGCCCAACCCGCCGCCGCTCCGCCCTCACCCCGCAGCAGCTCGGCCCTCACGGCTCCCAGCACGTCGGCCACTCCCAGCTCCTGCCGCCCGCAGGTCCCGCCGTGGATGCGGAGCCAGGCCGGCTCCGCCAGCGCCGTGCACAGCGCCGTGATGGACAGCGCTCCGGGCAGCGCCGAGGCCAGGCTGCGTTCCGGTTGTTTCGGCAGCCCCCCGCCGCCGCCCGCCGTCCCGCGTCGCCGCCGCCCGCCGGGCAGCCCGGGCCCGCCCGGGTTATACATGCTGCCTCCGCGCCCCCCGGCCCGCAGCGCCGGCTCCGCCTCAGGCTGCGGGCTCGCTTCCGCTTCCGGCCTCTCGGCGCGCTTCCGCTTCCGGCGCTCGCGGTGAGGTCAGTAGTTAAGCGACAGAAAGAGGAGCGATGAAGGAGGCGCTGGTGCTGCAGAGCCGCGTGGCCGCGCACCCCGAGGCGCGCTGCTGGTTCTTGGCGTGGAGCCCCGGCGGAGCGCTGCTCGCGTCCTGCGGCGGGGATCGCGCCGTGCGCATCTGGGGCAGAGAGGGTACGGCGGGATTACCGGGGCTGCAACGGGGCGGCAGGCAGGGGCGGGGCCATGTGCTGTGGGAGCGGGGCTATGGGGTGAAACTGCAGGAAGGGGCGGAGCACCGGGGGTAAGGGCGGGGCTAGGAAAGAGTGCAGCCAATAGGAGTGAGTGTGGGGGCGGGGCTAAGAAAGGGCGCAGCCAATGGGGCAGGGGAACGGTGGGCGGGCGGGGCCATGTGGGGGCGGGGTCACGGGAGCTGCTGTGTGTGGCTGCGGGAAGGGGCGGGGCCACCCGTGTGAGGGCGGGGCTTATAAGGGTGTGGCCAATTGGGGCGGGGCCAATAAGGCGGGGCCACGTCTTGCAGTGTGGCTGTGGGGAGGGGTGGGGCCTCAAGGGCGGGGCTAAGAAAAGACGCAGCCAATGGCAGACAAATGGAGGCGGGGACACATTGAATGGGGGCGGGGCTAAGAGAGGGCGAGGCCAATCGGAGGCGGGGGTGAGAAGGGGTGGGGCCAGAGGAGCTGTGGGCGGGGCTTGGGGGGGTGCAAGTTGGTGGGGGAGGGGCGGGGCTCTGATCCGGATCCGCCATCATTCCCTCTCCCCCCGCTCAGGGTCAGGCTGGGCCTGCCGGGCAGTGCTGGCCGATGGCCACCAGCGCACGGTGCGCAGGGTGGCGTGGTCGCCCTGCGGCTCCTATTTGGCCTCTGCCAGCTTTGATGCCACCACCTGCATCTGGAAGCGGTGCGAGGACGGCTTTGAGGTGAGGCCCCGTCCCCCTGCCCCACCAGCTGCCCACAGCAGAGTCCCGCAGCTCTGTGTCCCCACAGTGCGTCACCACGCTGGAAGGCCATGAGAATGAAGTAAAGTCGGTGGCCTGGGCGCCCTCAGGGAGCCTGCTGGCCACCTGCAGCCGTGACAAGAGCGTCTGGGTCTGGGAAGGTGAGTGCTGGTGCTGCGTGGGGGAACAGACAGGGCCCAGAGCACAGCGTCCCCACCTGTGTCCCCATTTCCTCACGGAGAGGGCTGTTCTTCCCCACAGTGGATGAAGAGGAGGAGTACGAATGCGTCAGCGTCCTCAATTCGCACACTCAGGACGTCAAGCACGTGGTCTGGCACCCCAGCCAGGAGGTGAGAACCAGCCCCAGGGGCAGCAGCACCGCGAGCTGCGAGCGTCCCTCTGTGTGCTGGGAAAGGCTCCGTGCTGGAGGGCTGTGCTCTCAGACACGGGCTTTGAGTGATCCTTGATAGAGCTCTGTGATCCCTCTGGAGCCCCTCTGGGTTGGGGGTGGTCTGTGATTCTGATTCCTCTCCCAGCTGTTGGCCTCGGCCAGCTACGACGACACGGTGAAGCTGTACCACGAGGAGGAGGACGACTGGGTTTGCTGCGCCACGTTGGAGGGCCACGAATCCACCGTGTGGAGCGTGGCCTTCGATGGCAGTGGCGAGCGCCTGGCGTCCTGCAGCGACGACAAGACGGTGCGCATCTGGCAGCGCTTCAAACCTGGCAACGAGGAAGGTGAGCTCCCCCCTCGCTGTGGCTTTGAACGCTCAGCGCCGTGCACATCAGTGGTTTTCCCCCTCCTGACCAGCAGCGCGCTGAGCTTCTCCTCCTGTCCTTTAGGGGTGGCGTGCAGCGGCGCCGACCCCACCTGGAAATGCGTCTGCAACCTCTCAGGCTACCACAGCAGGACCATCTACGACGTGTCGTGGTGAGCGTGCAGCAGCAGGGAGCTGCTCCCTCCTCTCTCAGGATTCGGGTGCTATTTCACGCCGTCTCCCCTCCAGGTGCCGCCTCACCGGAGCCTTGGCCACAGCCTGCGGTGACGACGCCATCCGGGTCTTCGAGGAGAGCTCGTCCTCCTCCCCGCAGCAGCAGCAGCCCACCTTCAGCCTCACAGCCCACGTGCCCCGGGCGCACTCACAGGATGTCAACTGCGTGGCCTGGAACCCAAAGGAGCCGGGGCTGCTCGCCTCCTGCAGCGACGATGGCGAGATTGCCTTCTGGCAGTACCAGCAGCCTGAAGCGTGCTGAGGGTTTGGGGCGTCGCGGCGTGGCTGCGCTTCCCCTCAAGCCCGCTGCTGTTACAGAGAAGGGCATGGGGCTGAGCGACCTGCGCCCGCCGCCCTCTGCCGTTTGGACTCCGGCCTTCTGGCAGGTGAATTTTGTCTGGCCCAAAAGCCGCAGCTGCTCCACCAGGAGCGGGGGGGGCTTTGAGAGAGGGGAACGCTGCCTCTCCCTGCCGTGCGCTCAATAAATCCCTGCTGTCAGCCCGAAGCCTCCAGGCTCTTCTTTTTAGGGAGGGCGGAGGTGCAACCCCTGGGGCTGGAGGCCGATGGGGGAGGACAGGCCAACAGGGAACAGGTTTGGTGAGGGCTGGACCCAGTAAAGCACAGCCCCAGGGAGCTGCTGCTGTGCCTGCGCTGCTCCCAAAAGCTGCTCCTGGGCTGGCGGCAGCCTCTGCTCCTCCTGCCAAACCCCAGAACCGCCGCTTCTCCCCGCTGACAGCTCACTTTGCCTTAATTAGTTCTGCTAATTAACTTGCAGCAGCAAACCTGAGGGCATAGAAGCACTCAATGAAGCGGGAAGGTGCTGAAATTGAGCCTCACAGCTTTAAGGGAGAAAGCAGAGCGGCTCAGGACTGCTTTGTCAGGAGGAAACAAACCCAAATGCTTTCAGCCACAAACAAACAGCAGCGCAGTGGGCAAAGCAAGGTTGGGGAAAGCTCAGCATTTATTCCAGCTGCTGCAGACACAACTCCATTCTAAAAAAACCACTGTACAACATCCTAAAAAACAGGAAATACACACAGAGGGAGGTGAGAAGCACTGCGGTTTGGTCACGGTTTGGTCACGGCTCCTCACCGGCGCGGGGCGGCGCAGCCCCCATTAATCAGATTCGCTGTCGCTCTCGGCCTCCTTCACGTCCACGCTGAATTTGTACTCCTGGTCGCAGCCCATGTAGGCGTCGCTCATGAAGTACAGCGTGTAGTTGTGCGTCCCCGTGGCCGGGGCCACGAAATCCAGCTTCACCTGGGAGCAGGGGAGGAACGAGGCGTCAGGGCCGCGGGGTTGGGGGGCTCAGCGAACCCAGCGCGGCCCCACGCAGCCCCCGCTCACCTTGGCCTTCTGCTGCAGCGTCAGCCGCTTGATGGAGATGAGGCTGTTGGACTTGGAGTCGCCGATCACCACCCACCAGCCCTCCTCACGTTTCTGCCAGGGGACGAAGAGCAGACACACAGGCGCAGCGCTGGGACGGAGCCCATCTCACCCAGGCGGGCCGTCCCCAACGTTCTGCTGCCCTCACAGCCCTCCCCGGCCCCTGGCACGCACCTGGGGGAACAGGGGGGCGATGACGGGGCCGGTGACCTCCTCCTCACGCTCCAGCTGCACCAGCACCACCACGGGGCCTCCGCTGCGTGGACAGAAGCGAAGTCAGGGCGCCGCCGCGGCACCGCAGGGCCTCGCCGTGCTGCCGGCCCCCTCCTCACCTCCGGATGCTTTCCTTCTCCACCACCTCGTAGGACAGCTCGATGTTGGGGTAGCGGTTGCAGAAGCGGGCGACGTCGGCGATCTGCGCCTCCGAGAGCTGCAGCAGCGCGTTCCGGTCCTCGTCCTCCATCTCCATGATGTCAAACACGCTCTCCACCCCCTGCAACAGCACGGCTCTCAGCCCCGCATCGAAGCCGGGTTCCGCATCACCACCCCTCATCCTCCAGCACGGGGCCGGGCGTCGCGTTTTGGGTTTTACCTTGTCAGTGCAGCGCTTGATGTGCTCAGAGGTGAAGTGAGGCAGCTGCTTGAGGTAGGAGTCCTTGGACCACATGGCTTGGGTCACCATCTGCGCCAGCTCCATGGCGGCCAAGGCGGGGCTCAGCCACCCGTTGCTGGACAGGACGTCCACGCACGCCTGGATCAGCCGGATTGCCTGAAGGCGGAGGGCAGGGCTGGGTTGGAAAGCAGCTCTCAGGGATGCAGCAGCTGCCCCACGCCGCCCCGCCGCACCTTGCTGAGGATCTCCTCCGTGTCCGACTGCAGCTCGGCGCTCAGCTGCATGCGCGATAGGTGAGCCTGCAGCAGGAGGTTGGTCTTGACGTGGGGGTCGTTGAATTTGGGGTTGGTCAGCTTGTGGGGGACCTTCTGGGCCAGCTGTGGGGAGAAACGAGAGAGCAGTGAGAGCTCAGGCCTCACAGAGCAGGAAACAAAGGCAGGCCCTGCAGCGCCGCAGCTCCAGCTCACCTGGCGCAGCAGGTTGTCCTCGTGGTGCCGGATGGGGATGTTCTCATACTCAGCAGCGTTGGAGATGATTTCTATCAGCCCTCGCACTTTGGTTTTGGCATTGAGGGACATGCTGAAGAGCTCTGAAGGGCAGAAAGGGAAAAGGGGTCGGGAAAAAGCGAGCAGCGTTAAGCTGGGCAACGTAAGGGATGCCTTCAGGCAGAGAACACGCAGCCTCATGCTGAACGGGGGGGGATTCATGCACACAGCGCCTGCCCTCCTTCACCCACATCATCCAGAGAGGACGGAGAGCAGGAGGAGCAGCAGCAGGCGCTGCCTCCCATGTTTCCCTCACCAATAGTGGTGTAGTTGATGTAATAATAGGCTGCAATCATCCCCAGGTTGAGGGGAGCCACGTCCATCTCGTCCTCGATGCTGATGCACTTGGACTGCTCCAGGTCACTGAGGGTCTGCTCCACCAGCTCCGAGAGGTGGTCGGAGAGGTGCCTGTGGGACACACCTGTGGG